CTTCTTTCTTTATGATATCCTCTGCACATTTGAGAATACCGTATAATTCCATAACACTGCTGAGTGATGAGTCAGATCAATCAAGTCACCTGTTTAAATTATCTGACATAGCTCTACCTAGATAACACACATTGATGTACTTGATGGTAATTGTTATCCTTAAGGTTTTAATTGTCTTTTTCTTTCCCCCTTTATGTTTAATCCTTATTACGTGGTAAACGTCGGCAACTGATCACCTGATTCTATCATTCACTCCTTCTTCTTATCAACCACGGCTATAAAAAGCTATCAAATATGTAACAAACTGTTCAAACTTTCAAAAACTTACTATACCTTAACTACTGTCGTAAGTTCCCTGGTTAATTATCAATCTCCTAATTCTTTGAGAATGAGAGACTTTGACTAAGTAACTTTTCAGTACTAAATTGATCTCTTTATTTTATATTTTACAAAATCCCATATATAAATGCAAAGTTGTTAGTGAGGAGATAATTGAAAAGAAATATTTGCTCACTTGAATCTCTGTTTTCTTACAAGAGAATTTAGAAATAAGTTTTATTTACTTCAGTATTGACTGACTGACTGACTCACCCACTGAATCGATTGGTAAACGAATTATTCCTATAGTTTCTCCACTAAATTCTGTACTGCATAAACAACAAAGTGTGTTAATCTTATTGGTGAAACTTTAATGGGTATTGCTTAACTTTTTTATACAATACATCCAGATACAGTTCATTTCCAAAGAGAATACTTACTTTATGTAAATACACTACCTTCACTTCACTTGCTCATATCACCAATATGACAAAATAACTTGCACCAATACAGTGCAAAATTAGTAAAATGTACACCTAGTATTTCTGTCCAATCTACCTTACAATTGGCATATCAAATCTCTTGACTCACTATCACTCAAGATCATGTAAACCTCCAGTTCAGCTGATATGTCTAGCCTGTATCAAATGTGTGCTACTTAGACACTGAACCACTATTACAAACTAGAAAATGTATCACTATCAAGACTGTAATCTATGCATTAAATAAGTAAAATGCCTTTATAAAAAAAGGTATAAAAAGTTTTAAATTTTTAAGTCAGTCAGGCGAATTAGATTTTATTTAATTTATCACTGTAATTCTCTTTTGCCTACCAACAATATAGATAGTGAAAAGGTGAGTAAATAAAAGAAGAATATTTTACTTCACTTTCAGTCAGTAAGAGAATTTTCCTAATTATCTCTATTAATGTCTACTGTAAATTCTTTTTTCAAACAAAATAGTTTAAAGAAAATGTAGCAATTAGTTGAACTAACCATACAGAAATATAACTAAGTACAAGATTGTCGATAGAATAACTTTCTTTACTTACAATCATTCTTAAGTAACACTGAAAGCAGAATATTGATGGCCATTATAAGGGATAAAATATACATCCACGCATTAATTCAAACAAGTTTCCGCTAATGTATAAAATGTGACTGATTTAACATATTCAAAGTGAACACAACTAATTCATTGAAATATACACAAGTATATACGAAGACAGATAGAATACATCTGTAAAATCTTTAGAATTTTTTTCATCAAAATAAAAAGAACAAGATTCGGAAAATAAATTGAGCTTGTAGCTTTTCTTCGGCTGCGAAAAGTTACTACTATCTGCTATCGTTGTCATTATAATGTGGATGGAAATGTCAAGTACTGCAGATATGCTTTTTTAGACTATACTTCAGTAATTGACTCTGTGTCAAGGTCTCTCTTGCAGGACAGAGTAACTGGGACACCTGCTGACTGTTCGGTTGTTAACTTGTTATATTCCTGTTTTGCTAAAAGGAAACAATATACCGTTTGTAGTGGGAAAGGCTGCATCTCATTACTCACTTTGGCTGGATTTACCCAAACCGCTGTTCTGTTCCTCCCTACTCTCCTCTTTTTCTCTGTTTGATTTAGCATCTTAAGCTAGTATCAATTTTTTCAAGAATGTTGATGTTGGATTTTATGCTGGCCACCTTCTCATCAGATTGTCCTCAAATGAATGATTCCCTATCCACTGATGGACGATGATCCTTCATGAATGTTTCTGTGCTCAGTTCTTCAGAATGTCAGATGTGAGCATAACCTTTATAAGCTGCTTCAGTCTCGTAACTCCTGTTTTATTGACAACTCTGTATTCGGTAATGTAACAACAGGTGCGATTCCTCCTTGTATATGTTCTTCTTCTGATCTCTCCTGGTCTTCCCTTATCTTACTGGTTTACAAAAGATTCTTTCACTTAAATTATTATAACAGGACGTTGAGAGTGTCTCGTACAACTCATCCTATTCTTTCTTGTTTTATAAGCTTCTGCATTTAACCTATTCTCCTTCACTGTTCCCCTTTATGCTTCCATGAGTTGCTGAAAAAGGTAGAACTTGGAAGATTGTTACCAGAATTAGTAGTGTACCTCTACCCCATTCGAATGGATACAATAGGGAACAAAAATCCTAATTCATGTACATTACTGACAGAAGTTATTTTATCTGACGAGTATCATCATCTTCCCTGGGAGCTTTTAATGTGTCGATACTCCTGTAAGGCCAGGAGATAGCATAAAAATATTGTGTACTTAGTAGCAAACATAAAAACCCTATCTACCATACCTTATTTAGCTCAGATATTATACAGCTTGCTGTCATTTGTGTTGTGAACATAATTGTTAATATGATCGTTCATTATGATGTATATATATATATATATATATGATTTACTCTTCATTTTATTTCACGTCATTTCCTAGCTGTTTCTGTGTGTTCAGAAAAGGACAACTATTAATCAAACATCACTTTGGTAACTACGTATTTGTCTTTAGTATTGTGTCGCTTGTTTCATGTTTACCTATTCCTCCCCTTTTTCCTATTACTTGTTCCATATGTCTGATGTAACATAACATTAATCTGTTTGTTTCTGTGTGAAAAACCTGTTGTTATTATGAAGATAATCGTTTTGTCATTATTATCATGACTATGACAATGATCACCTTATCATTATTACCATTCACCACACTGGCCCTTAAAACTCTAGGATCTTCCTTCAGATTATTTGTGAATAAATAAAATTTATCACCATTGTTCTCAATGCTGAAATTTTTGAACTTCTTTCGCCTGTTGCAATCGTATTTCTGAATGTAAATGGCTACTCTGATCCAAGTATATTCTAGGCTGCTTCCAGCTGAAGAAAAGTTTCAAAGTTAACATTAGCTCAATTTATCCTACAAATCTTATTCTTCTTGCTTTGATGAAAATGAACAAGGGAAGACTCTTCATGAGTTTAGGATAATTTCTTTTCTTTTATACGCTAGGGTTTAACTAAACAGGTTTTTGTTAACGAGCAGGAAACCTTTATCAATATAAAAAGGCAAAAGTAAATCGCATGGACTAATTTATATTTGCATCATGTAATCTAGTTGTTGTTGAAATGAACACCAGTGTCATGCAGCATTTGCTGTCCACCTTATGAGTGTGTACCGAAACCATCTACGTAAAAAAAACAATAGTAAAACCTTTGACTGTCATAGTGAAGGATATCCATTCGGCTTTCAGACAGAAAAGGTATTCCTTTTAATCAGCTAATAAACATAACTTTCAGATGTATATATTAATGATGGACAGTGGCTGGCAGCGGAATCTAGAGTCCGCGTTTCGTCTTATTTAGAAATCGTTAGCTGGATATACCTGTCACCTAGTGAATGACCTCGTTCCCACTAAATTTCGAAAACCGAGACCGACTGCTTCAAAAAACAGAGCGTCATCCACTAGGCTACTGAGTCACAGTAGCCGTTTCTTGTATGACTAATATAGTTCTTATATTGTTGTTTCTATTACTAAATATAAGAAAAGTATAAAAGCTGTGGCCAAAACTCTGTTTTACTGTCGTAAACTATCAGATATGGAGTTAACACTCAATAAAAGTATTATTACTATTACTATTTGTCCCTTGGATTCCTAATGGAACATAGGGCTTCAGTAGCACATCTCCATTCCACTCTCTTCTCTGCAGTCTTTTCTACCTCGCGCCATGACTTCTCACAAGCTTTCATTTCTTCCTAACATGATCTTATCCATGTCACCCTCCCTCAGACGATCAACTCGTCACTTCTTATCTGGGTTCCACTCGACGGCCTGGACTGGTGCGTGATGTCCTTAGTCGGCCTTCTCAGTGTATGCCCAATCCATCTCCATTTCCTTCTGCATATTTGTTGGGTGATAGGTTCTTGGTTGGCTCGTTGACAGCCGGAATTCCTTGTTGCTTACTCTTATTATTCTTGCCATCTGATCTTCAGTAACGAGCTAGCGTAGGCAGTTGTTGATGAATGTCTGTAAATTGTTGGAAATGTCTTTCGTAACGCGACAAGTCTCTGAAACATACAGAAGCACTGACTTGACGTTGGTGTTGAAAATCCGAATCGTGTTCCACATGCTGAGTGCAATGCAGAAGATCTCCAGACTGGTTTCAGGCTAATGAACGCTTGTCTTGCTTTTCTGATCCTAGCTGCCTTTGACGTCCTCGTCTGTGCCGCCACCTGTAGTCGAAACGATGCTGCCTAGGTAGGTGTAAGTGAAAGAGGCCACTTCCTTTAAGTTTCTCCCGTTGATGGTGATCGCTGCTTGTTGTTCAGGTTGTTGTTGGTTGGGTATCTTCATCACCCCTGTCTTCTCTACGTTCACCTGAAGGAAGTCCTGTCTTCGCTGCCTCGCCTCTTCTGTCAACTTGTTAGTTTTCACCTGTAGATCTTCAAGTTTGTGTGACATTAAACACAAGTCATCACTGGCGAAATCCAAGTCTTCTAGGATCTTTTCCGCAGTCCATCGTATCCCCTTCTTCTCACAGCTCCTCACTGTCTGTTGCATGATCCAGTCCAGTCGACCACAATAAGAAAGACCATCGGTGATGGTAGGCAGCCTTGTTTTAATCCCTGCTGCCTTCACTTCAAAAGCATCACTCAGCTTTCCTTTGTGAATCACTTGGCATGTGGCGTCTTCATATAGTTGTTGAATGAGGCGGATAAAGGTTTGTGGTATTCCGTAGTGTTGAAGTAACTGCCAAATTACTTCTCAGTCGACGTTGTCGAAGGCCTTTTCAAAGTGGATGAAGTTGAGGTAAGGTGGAGAGTTGACTGCCATTCTATACTTTGTTCTATGATGATACGAAGCATTGCGTTGCAATTTGGTCCGCACATGATTTGTACTTCCTGAAGGTAGCCATCCTGTTCTAGTCGTAGTTTTGAATCCGGCGCATCGTTTAGTATCTACAGGATGATGCGGTCTAATATTTTGCTTGACAGTAGCATGATTCCACGCCAGTTCTTGCAAACACTGAGGTCCACCTTCTTCGGGAGCTTGACCAGGTAGCCCTTCTTCCAATCTGCAGGCACCTCCCCTTCCTTCCAGACCTTCTGCATTAGTGGTGTGAGCATGTCTGCTTTCAGTGCTTCTGGCGGGATTCAACCTCATCCTGCTGCTTTCCCGCATTTCAATAGCTTATGTCTTTTAGGACCTCGACTTCTGTAGGAGGATTTGTGTTCACTTGTAGTTTTGTGGCTGGCTGCAGGTGGTATTTCTGGACGAAGTGCAGGTGGTGGTCGATTCAAGAGCTTTTTGAAGTGGTCAGCTCATCGTTGCCTTTGTTTCTCTTCTTTGGTAATTAAATTTCCGTCATCATCTTTTATTGGTTTCATCATTTTTTATATTTTGTTTGTTATTTGAAGTTTCTTTAACGGTTGGATTGGTTTTACCGGGTAGGGTTGCTAGCCCTACTCCTAACCTTCCCTCTTTACCCGGGCTTAGGACTGGCTAGTAACTAGTGAGATAGTTAACCAGGCGATATCACTAAATGGCAGATGTAACTTTCACATTCACTCGAGTAACCTGTGACTCACACTTTGAACAGTCGTAACACGTTTGTACCACACAGTGAAACAAACCGGTTTTGATTACTGTTGTATTTGTTTCTAAATGTTCGATACTTTGCAAACTCTTCTTACAGTTATACATCATGCCATGCACTTGAAGAGCTAATTGCGCAAAACAGTGTAGAATACTAAGACTAAAGGTATGCAGGTTTTGGAATATATTTGGCTAGCAAAACATGTGTCACATAACTTTTCTATTATCATGAGTGTCAGTATGACAAGTGTAACGTCATGGTTACTTCATTTATCTATAAAATATCAAGGGATTTCAGGTCAGTGGAGTGAGGACTTTTGGTTAGTTCACAAATCAGGACGCCATTTAGTTGTGTCTGCATACTTTTATTTTTTTCCCAGTTTTTATTTATCAGTTTTATCTACAACTTTCCTATCCCTCATATTTTCAGTTTCATCCCCTCTAAAGCTACTGTAGCCAGACTGATTAGCCTACTCTTTTATTTTCCAAACATTCTGCAAATACATATTTTTCTGTACGAAAGCTGCATCTTAGACTTCAATCTTCGTCGACCGAAATATCTAGTCTTTCAACGAAATAGTTATGTACTCCATTTTAGGATCACATTAAGCTGTACGATGACGAAGCGAGAGTTTTCAGTTAACCACTGTTTCCAGCAGTCTGCATTCTATTGTTGGAACTAAATTATTAAGAAAACACACCAACTATTTAGTCTGTACGACGTCTTAGTCATAGATTTGAGCGACTAGTGAAGAAAAAATCTTACTGGAGGAGTATTTACTCGGACTACGAGATTCGTTCAAACCATACCTATGAAGTCAAAATATCTTTTCCATAAATGACCGTCTGTAATGGTTCAATATAAGTAGGTCAGTATATTACACTATGAAAGTATTATGCATATCACACATCAAAACATGCGCTTCATATGACGCAGATCATCCAGGAAATTTTATTCGCCTACTTAAGGTCCTAAAAGATCCTTCTGTCTATTGAACCTTGCCTATTAGTGAATAAAAACGGGAAAAAAGCAAATCGAAATACAATATCCAAAGTATAGAAGTGCATTGGTTTGATATGTCACGCAAAAAGATCAATTTAAAGAAGAGTATATAACAAAACGAATCCGAATAAACGTGTTAGTGACGGATATACAAAAACAGTAATCTATTCTATTATGCACGTGAAATAAATAATTGATTTTCTTTAAATGTAATGCTCTGGTTGATCATGCCCAATAACATGCAAAACATTCACTTTTCGAATCTACTGAATGTTAACTGAAATAAAGCTCATACCCTTTTGTGAGATTAACTCGAAAAGTTACAAGTTTGGTCAACCGGCTTGACTAGTTTTAGATTTTTCACCACTTCTACTTCATGACGCCTTGTATGCCAGAGTACATACATGCACATAGTTCACGAAATATAATACACATATCTCACTTGTTCAGGTTTATGGCTTTATCAACTGACCTACTATTCTTACCTAACCTTATTATTATTCTCTTAGTGGTCCTACAATAACATTTCAAAGATTGGAGTCTGAAAATTGCATCAGACAAAGATTCTGAATGTTCTTCAACGGATGGATGATACTGAACTTTAGCCAAATTTTGCACTATGTAAAGCATCATGCTTAGTGTTTAAACATTTCTTGGCCTACGTTATTTTTTAATAGTTAAAATCTTATCAAAGCTGAACCAGACTTCAATGACCAGTTTATGAGCAGTCTTATACAGATAGATAAAATAAGCACCAGAATTTTTGTTCATCATAACAACTGCTTTTTGGAGTTTCTGATTACAAAATGACGGTAGTAGTAGTAGTTGTTGTTGATGATGATGTTGCTGTTGCAGTATGAAAACTTTCTTCATAAACTGGAAAACTTTAGAAACAGATGGGACCTATGACTTACTCAACTATATTAGTTAGTCAGCCTCTTGATCCTAAATCATCTTGTACAGTCTTAATGTCTTCTGAAATCTGCTAAATGAAAAATACAGCCTACCAAGGTACTGACTTGCTTACCATCTTTAAAATAACTCGTTTCAATCTAAACTATTGAAATACATAGTCAACTACAAAAGACAACTTTCAAAATGTCACCATATCTATTTCTTTTCTTTACAAGTAGAAGTACTGTTAGCCCAACCAAAAACTCCATCATAATTTGAGAATTTCCATTTACGTAACAGACTAAATATATCAGCACCAATTACCGGATCAACACAAAATTACTTTCACCACTATGGTTCTTTATATCTGCTATACTTTTCAGCTTATTAGTGCATACCACTCGAGGAAACTTGAAAATCCTATGCCTGTTGATAAAATTGGCATCTAAGTGATGTGTTTCTCATCCCACCTCATTAATATACTGTCGTAAATGAATTTCCAACTGACTAGCCATAAGTGCAGTTTAACTAAGATAAATATAATGGAAGGAGTGACAAATTTTCGACTCTTTCATCTACTGTTTTCATTATCCTTGAGTAGATTCAAAGATTTGATTGTACAAATGATTTTCTTTTGGAATTCAGTTTCGTGTATTCAAAATTATTTATTGTACTGAGTTTAAGTAAGTTTGAGTACTCAGTTATTGCACTCACATTCACAATACTTACAAATTGGTGTACACTTCAATTAGACTTCAGTATTCTAGAAATGTAAAATTCAATGCTTTTTTATGCGTTCAAAAGTGTAACAGGTCTGTGTTTTTACTAAGATACATCAACCTAACAGTTAGCTATTCTATATTCCACATTTCTACCTCCAAAATATCACCAACTTCTTAAATCCCTTCTCATTTAAAAAATTGAAGAACCAAATAACAACAAGTGAAGCAGTAGATAAGACAAGAAAGTTTTTTACTACTTCGGGGATTCTTCTCAACTGCTTACAAACTAAACACTATCAAAATGTGTACACACACACTTTTAGCAAGTGGATAAGAGATCATTGATGGGGTCAACCAATAACATTGATGAGAAAAGATGTATATAGTCAAAGTTTAGGAGATCGTTACGAAAGGGTTTGAAAGAAAGACTGACTGTTTATAGGGTTATTAGGTGTGCAGTCTTTAAACAGATGTCTCAGACTGACATTTCTCATGGACTGACATCAGTTGCAGAACCAATGGAAACCTAGTAGCACCCAACAGCCGTTTAGTCCTGTTATGGGACTCTTTAGAAGTGCCCACTTATGACTTCGCCGGGGATCTAACCCAATATCTTCAGGTTCCATAAGGTACTGACCAAGTTTCCAATGTTTTTTCCAACCGATGAATATCAGCGTGAAATCAATCAATAAATCCCCACAAACCGCCAAAATGAGATCTCTAGGAGGTGGGTGAGCACAATATTTAGCCGGAAACTGAAAATATAATTATCATAGTTTGTGTAACTTTAAAATTTTTCGAACTACAAAAATCCTGAAGCGTAAGATCAGTAGCTTTCAGATAGCTAAAAAATTAAGGTTTGGAATGAAACCTGGTATGAAAGGAGGAATGATGCAACAAAAGTTTAAATGCATTTTATTGTAAGATAATCATTAGGACGGTGCAACTGAATCTTTTTGAATACAAAGATTTCTTCTGTCTCTTTATAGCTACTGGTTCAGTTGATCCTGTCAATCACTTATAAAATTGATAAAAGTTTATTCGATTTTTCCATAGTGTTTACATTTCGTTATTATTCAAGCTGTAAGCAGTTAAGAAGCATCCTCAAAATGAAAATAAGTTCATATTGTCCTGGCACACTCGTTGTTCCTATCCTATTCAAGTTCAGGCTATCAGTTGGCATTTCAAATAACTTCTTTGATTTGGTTGAATATGAGCTTTTATTTTGTAGAACCGTAAATTCATATAACAAATAGATAGCCCTTTCTCTACTGGGTTACACAGCAGCTTCAATAAGACATTTTATCATTACGAACCTGTTCATAGTATTTGATAATCACTGGAGCGCTAGACTGTGACTCATCAGCACTTCCCGTTCGACTAGGCATTATCAGTAAAACTATGAATACTGATCAATACTTTGTTGTTCTTTAGTTGAATTCCTTTTGGCACTTAGCTGAATAACACTAAAGCGAAAGGGGGAACACGTGTCTAACATTTCAGTCATTTTGGTCTGACTAACAAAATCTGTCAATTATCATGATCCCTTTCCAGATACTCGTGCTATTTAGGTGTAAAAGCAGCAGTGGACGTTGAAAACAAAACTACTTCTTAGAGCTGGTGATCTCGATTTTTCCCTAAGTTTACAAATATTACTAAACTTAATGTAGATAATTTGAGATATTTCATCTAATATGTATTTTAATGAGTCTCTGTTAGCATATGGGCACCTGTGTGGATGCCTCGATATTGCCAGAGTTCTAATTATGTTAATGATGGATCGTGGCTAGCAGTGGAATCCAGGATGCACATTTCGTCCTATTTGGAACTCGTTAGCCGGATGTACCTGCTTCCCAGTGAGCGATGTTTTGCCCACCAGGACTCGGACTCGGGAAACAATTATAGTAGAAACTATACCCGCCGCACAAGAAGTGGCTATCATGGCTTGGTGGTGTAGTGGATCACGCTATCGCGTTTAAAGCAATCACTCCCGAGTCCGAATCCTGGTGGGCACAATATCACTCACTGGGAAGCAGGTACATCCAGCTGACGAGTCTCAAATAGGACGAAATGTGCATCCTGGATTCCACTGCTAGCCACGATCCATCGTTAATATATTCTAATGAGGCTTCAAAATTTAAAAGAAGAACTGCAGTTACTGTGTTACATCATGTGTATTCAGTTAGTTTGTGAACAAACTGCTGAAAATATTCAGTTTGAAAAACAAAGGAATTTTTCAGGCAACGAGGGAATTACATAAGATATAAAAGATAATGATTGATGACTTTGTTTACTATATATCTCCGACATGATAACTCTCATTTCGCTCATATGAAAAAAAGACAAACTGATTTTCGCATAAAAATACTCCTTTTGAAAGTGTAACTGAAATTCGCGGTTAGATAAAAAAAAATGAATAACAGAACGTGTGTGCATTTTCATGATAATTAGCTTAGTCAGTATAATGTTGAATATTTCTTTCATGCATCTACCGACTTGTACATCGATCCCTATTAGGACTGACAATGTCAAATCATCTTGTTGCTGTAATAGATAGACGATAAATGTAGTAACTTATCTTTCTAGATGAGTGGAAAAGTTTCAGTAGTACGAACAACTACTCATGTCTAACAAAGTAACACCAATTTGTTTGTTGGTGGCTAGCAATAGAATCCAGGACTTTGGTTTTGTCCCATTAAATCACAACACAGTCAACAATCAGGCATTATCGAGGCATCCGCATAAGAGCCCATATGTCAACATTGGTCGATCAATTCGATCCAGAATAACAACGGGAAATTGCAATTATCAATAAATGATGTAACAATAAGACTAAATTCATATGTTTACTTTCTCAATTTTTTTATAATAAGGATGCATAAAGATTTATCAGTCTCATATATCTCACCTTGCCATTGCTGCCCACTATCCATTGGATAAGGATGATGGGGTAAGCTTGTGGGGAATGGTATCTGGGGTTCATTTGGATACGGTTGTTGAGATCCATTTGGATAAGGTACCTGAGGATATCCTGCCTGTGACCGCTTGTCGGCCATTAATGATAAATAACACTTCTTCACAACAGATAAGCGAAATAATATTTTTCTAGAAAGAATAATACTGTAACTTTTCACATTACGTATACCGCACGTACGTATAACCTTGAGATTTTGCATAATGAATAAACCAATCGGAATAAATTTACACCCATGTGCTCATTAAGATGATTGGTCTAAAAAATGAAAAATCAATACATCACTATGAGAACAATTGATTACCATGCCTGTACAGTAAACACTAGATATTTACTATATAAATTGAAAACATCAATTTGAAATTTATATCACACGTTCTAAACCTTTTTTCTGTAACTTAAACATCAATTATTAGTTGTAATCTTTCCTATTCATGATGAAAACAACTTTGAATCCATACTTTGAATAAATTGATCTGTAGAGATTATTCTAAAATGTTTAAGCCAGTATAAAAAGATTGGAATACAGTTAATGAAACACGAAGTTATGAACTGTTCAAAAATCCCTTTAAAACACCACGGTATTTTGAGTTCGAAAAAAATAAAGATCGAAAGCTCATTAAGATCATTTATGCAAAATAAGGAAACAATCTGTTGACGATGTACCTGTAAATTCAATGTGACGTGTTAACCCAAGGTTAGACTACGACGCTTATAGCATATGAAATTTGGTTTCGTATCAGGTTGTAGTGACAAGTTCAAACATTCAATGAAGATGAATTATATACATAATGTATGGATCCTGCAATCTAGTTTATCTAAGTTGGGGTGGCTCAGAAGGCTACCTTACCAACCGCTTGACCTAGGTTTGGTGTTTGTTATAACTCTTTAGAAAGACCTATCGGTAACCTCAAAGAAACTTATTTGCCCTCAGGGGCTTGAATCTGCGCCACTTAGTGATGTATTCAGAGACGCTACCACTGAGATTTTGACCTGTGATCGAACTCTTGAAGGATCAGATAAGAAAAAGTTACTTCTATTGAGGCTGCAAATACGCCTTTCTGATGAATGTCAACATACAGTAAACTCAGGTCAACCAGGCATACTTACCGGTGGCCTCTAACTATAAACAGTAAACACTATCATGCTGAGTTTCCTAGCTTGGCGATCATATTAGAAAGTGGTCGATAGAACTCAGCATTTTGGGCTAGACAACGTGAAAGTGGTAACTGTCTAGTGACCAGTCAATGTAAAGAACAATCACAATTTCACTTTGTGTACAGAGGTTCGTTTAGCAGTATTTGATAAAGAGATTTCCAACAAAATGTAAACAACTTGTGCTTTCTTCTTTATCATTCTGAAAACGTTGCTAGATAAGACACTGCTTTGTTTCCATAAGATGTATCTACACTGGTAGAAATCTGGTTTCTTTGCAAACACCGAATGTTCGGGAAGTATTTAAAAACTGAGTAATAGTAATAATAACGGCCTTTAATTACGTATAGTAATGATGGGTAGTGGCTAGTAGTGGAATCCAGGATGCACATTTCGTCCTATTTGAGACTCGTCAGCTGGATGTACCTGCTTCCCAGTGAGTGATATTGTTCCCACCAGGATTCGGACTTGGGAGCGATTGCTTTAAACACGATAGCGTGATCCACGACACCACCGAGCCACGATATCCACTTCTTGTGTGACGGGTATAGTCCCAAATAGGACGAAATGTGCATCCTGGATTCCACCACTAGCCACTGTCCATCATTACTATACATAATTCAAACACAGGCAATATCGAAGCATTCACATAGGAGCTTATATGCCAACAGAGACTGATCAATTCGGTCCAATCAATGGTGGTGTAATACAAGTAATAACACTAATAATGACTTTATTCTGAAAACTATTTCGGGAATAATCTACAGAATTTTCAGCAAGTCATATAACACCAATTAGAGGTGACATGAGTTATGGGTTTCTGACTATCTATTCAATTTATCAGAATCCCGAATTGTAAACTGTAATCAACCTGGATGAAGGGAAACTGCTTGACAATCTTCTTTTTACTTTTCTGTCTATTCTCTCAGATATGCCATCATTTATAAATCCTAGTCGAATAAAGATATATTCTGTATTAATATTTAAGCACTGATGTTTCCCAGTATATTCTCTCGCATGCTTCCTGGTAAACTACTTAAGATAACATTTCATTAAAAATAATCTCCCCAGTATTAATAAGCTCTCTTTCCAATCTTTTCTTTGAGCATAATTCTTTTTATTCTAGTGAACATTATCGCGACTAAACCTTGTTTGTGCTGAACACAACAAAAGCTATTGTAGTGCAGATGATGAGTCACTCGTGTTTTTTTTTCGTGTGGATAGTTTCTTCAATTGCACCATCACTTACATTCCTTTTGGATTCCACTGCAAAAGATTCAGACGTCGATGAACCTGCCTGAAATTACAAAACACCCTTAATGCTATTCCAAACAATAAAATTATCATCAACGCAATTATTGCAACATCCTGTTTTCTCGATTTCTGAATTTATCTCTCTGTGTTACTGATCAGAAAGATATCTACTTGGATAGGTTTTGTTATTGATGTCATAGTCGTTTAATAAGTTTGAGAAATACAGTTGGTTATTAAGCTAGAGATGAACGCTCCTGGTAGAAAAAAACAACCATTTTGACAGTGGTCCCAGTAAAAAAGAAAAGCAAATTACTTCCGGGACCTTATCCAATGTTACTTTCCTAGTTAATGAGGAAACAGCAAATGACAACATATATTTGTCAGAGACATCTAGGTGATAAATTTCTCGCAAGAATTGGAATGTATCCCTCAGGTTATGATTTGAAAACTTTTCTTTGATGTGTTTTAATTGGGATGATGTCCAAAAAAACACTTTATGCCAAATTAAGTTTATCACACACAACGTGGACGTCAGAAAAACACTGGATCTACAGATTTTTTAACATACTAAATATCAGAGCAGAAGTGAGTTTATTACTGATAACAGCGTTAGCCTAATTCATATTCAAACTGTTCTTTAGAAGTTTACTTTCGTTGATTTAAACTGAGACTGCAGAAGTGTTTTAGGACCCGTCTACTAGAAATCTCCAAGAATTTTTCAAAAACTTCAAGGTTTATAATAAAATCAAACCTCCGTATCAGTTTCACTGTCATTTTGTTTATTTTTGATGGTAGCGCGTGTTCCCCACTCAAGATCTTTATGTCAATATATTGACATGTAACACTGGCTTGAATTTTACCTAGCTTCTTACACTCTCCCCCGTAGACTTCAGGTCCAAAAGTCAGTCGTTGGTGCAAAACTGAAATGGTTCAAAACAGAAGCTGCTTATCATGTGGGATCATCCTGAACCACCAGTGAACACAAACCCCCCGACAAAATTAGAAGTGAAGTCCTGAACGCCGTAAAGTTGCTGAAATCCAGGAAAGCAGCAGTACCAGATGGAATTCCCCAAGGAGCACTAAAAACAAATGCAGAGACATCAGCGGACATGCTCACGCCACTGTTGCAGAACGTCTGCAGTGAAGGAATGAAAGAAGAAAAGGTACCTGCCGATTGATTGGAAGGAGGGCTACCTTATCAAACTCGCAAAGAAGGAAGACGTAAGTCTTTGCAGGAACTGGTGCGGAATCCTGCTCGTGTCCCTGTTCAACCCAAGCAACATATTAAGCTGGATCATTATGAAGAGACTGAAAGATGCACTGCATTCAACTGGACTACTACCGGAACAAGATGGCTGGCTGGCTGGCTTCAGGAAGTACAAATCATGTGCGGATCAAATTGCAATCGTACACTACGCATCATCATCATAGAACACAGCATACAATGCCAGAATGGCAACTCTTCAACACAATTTCATCGATTTCGAAAAGGCCTCCAACAGCGTCAACCGAGATGTAGTTTAAAAGGCAGCTACTTCAACACTACGGTTTCAGTGCCACTAACCTTGATCAACCTCATTCAACACCAGCTATATGCCATACGATGCTACATGCCAAGTGATTGACAATGCAAAGCTCAATGATGATGCCTTTGAAGCGAAGTGAAAACAGGAAGGTGTAAGACAAGACAAGGCTGCCTACTATCACTCACCGATGATCTTCCTGATTGTGGTCGACTGGACTGAACTGGACTGGACTGAATCATGCAACAGATAACTGTGACCAGTGAGAAGATGGGCATACACTGGACCGAGAAAAAGATCCTAAGAGATTTGTATTTAGCCAGCGATGATGATTTGTGTCCAGTGTCTTGTGGCACAAACTCGAAGATCTACAGGCAAAAACCAACAAGTTGACAGAAGTGGAGATGCAGTAAAGGGAGACGGGACTTCAAGTGAACATAAAGAAGACAAAGGTAATGAAGATACCTAACCAATAACAACAACAACAACAAGCACTAATCACCATCATCAGGAGAAATCTATAGGTAGTAGTCTCTTTCATCTACCCACCTATATAGACAAGGTAGCATCATTTCAACTACAGGTAGCAGCACAGTCACAGGCACAAGCACAGATGAGGACGTAAAAGTCAGGATGGGAAAAGTGAGTGAGACAGGCCTTCATTAATCTGAAATCAGTGTGGAGATCTATTGCACTGCACTCAGCATGAAGCGTGAACAACATCCGGGTTTTCAACATCAAGTCAGTCAAGTCAGTGCCTCTGTATTGCTCAGAAACCTGGCGCATCACGGAAATCATTTCCAACAAACTACAGACATACATCAACAGCTGCCACCTACACCTACGTTCACTCGATACTGAAGATCAGATAAGATGGCCAGAAGGAATAATCTAGGAGGAACTCTAGCCGACTGACTGACTGACTGACTGACTGACTGACTGACTGACTGACTGACTGACTGACTGACTGACTGACTGACTGACTGACTGACTGACTGACTGACTGACTGACTGACTGACTGACTGACTGACTGACTGACTGACTGACTGAGAAGGAAGCAACCAAGATCCCACCACCCAACAAATATTCAGAAGGAAGTGAAGAAGGATTGGACTGTGCATACACTGAGGATGCCGATTGGGGACATCACGCGCCAGACCAGGATCTGTAGTGGAACCGTCATGGGAAAGGAGGAGTTGGGCGTGGGAGAGTGACATGGAGGAAATCATGTGGGGAAGAAATGAAAGCTTGTGGGCAGTCGTTTATCTA